CAGGAGTTGGACCTTCCGCAGCCCCCAGCCTCGCCGAGGGGCAGTTGGAAGGCGCGCGTGCGCGGTGGCTCCTGGGCAGGCCACGTGCGGGGGCGGGGGACGCGGTGGCCGCGCTCTGCGGGCTCCTCCTTCCCCGTGCTTCCTCGCTCTGGCTCCTGGCGTGTCTGCCCAGGGCCACATCCTGGCCTGCGGGCCCCTCCCCGGAGGGGGTGGCGCGGGGAGGGGGCTTTGTCAGACGGCGCGGGGCGGGGCAGGGGAGACGTCACGCCCAGACAGCCGGGGAGGTTACGCGGGAAGCACGCAGTTGCGGGGAAGCGGGGCTGTGGGCTTACGCGGCTAGGCTCACCCGGCGTGGGGAGGTCTGTCCGTTGGAGACCCCCTCTCCTACCCAGGGCGATAGAACCGCGTTCTGAACAGGGGAGCGGGGCGGGGAGCGCGAGAGAGGGACCTGAATGACAGCCTAGCCCCTGCCCGCGCCGAGCCCACGCAAGGCCCCGCAAGGTCCCGTCGGGGCTCCCGGCTCGAGCCACTGTCCCTTTGGAGGCCAGGCAAGGGGTTCCTCTCGTAGGGGTGCGCCACGGTGCCAGCCACCGAGCGCGTGTCTCCCTGCCCTGCCCGCAGCTTCCTGGTTGGGGACGATGGCCGGGTGTACGAGGGTGTTGGCTGGAACGTCCAAGGCACGCACACCCCGGGCTACAGCAACGCCTCCCTGGGCCTCGCCTTCTTCGGCAGTGAGAACGGTAAGGTCCGCCCCGACCGCGGCCAGCGAGGTGCCTGCGACCCCCGCGTGCACACCTGCCTCTTCGCCTGTGCCACCCTGACCTCTCGTGACGTCTTCTCTTGCCCGGATTCCGGGACCCGGTGGCCTTTCTGTCCTCCTCCTCCCTGGTCTGCACTTCTGTGACACTGCCCAAGCCACCGCTGACCCTGCTCGAGCTCAGGTGTTCGCCATCTCTCGAGGGGTCTGAGGCGTGAGGCACTGAGCTGGCAGAGGCGGAGGCAGAGGCAGAGGCGGAGGCGGACAGGGCCGCTGTCTTCCTCCAGCGGCTGCCACCGGGAGAGCCCGGCGGGCGGCGAGGAAGTGTTTAGCCCCCTGGGAAACAGCAGAGCACAGGACGGGCTGGAGGGGCGCTAAGGGAGAAATAACCGGCACCTGCCAGGACCCTCTCGGCCCGCGGGGGTTTGCCTGGCCCCCCAGCGCCTCCTCCCGGAGATGGAGGGGTCACCGACGTTGCTTCCAGGAGCTCTGTCCACTTCGTTCCTGTGTCCAGCTCCCCTGTCCCGCCCACCGGACCAGCTTCCTCCCTTCCCATCTGTCAGCTAGTCAGGCCCAGGGCCACCCCATCCTCCCTCCGGGACCAGCCGGGTTGGCGTTTCTGCTGACAGTTCCGTGTTCTGTGTCACCCTCCTTCAGGCAGCAGCCCCAGCCCTGCCGCCTTGTCGGCTGCGAAGGACCTGATCGCCTACGCCGTCCAGAAGGGTGACCTGTCGCCCAGTTATATTCAGCCACTTCTCTTGAAAGCAGAGGTGTGCCTGGCCCCTCGGCAGCGGGCGATGCCCAGTAAAGGTGAGGTCCTCAGACCCGCCTCGTCCTCCCAGCGACCACCGACCACGAGGGGAGGCGTCTGCCGATCGGCATGCACTGTTTTCTTGGACCGAGACCATCTCACGCTGAGATGCGGACAGTTCCGAGGCGGGGTTGCCCTGGCCTCTTCCCCTTCCCACGGAGCCTTTCCTGGCACAGACACGTGTGTACACACCTTTGCACTCCATCAACAAGTGTTTACTGAGCAGTGGACACACTACTTCGTGCCGAGGATCCGGCTGTGACGGAACCAGACAGAACTTCACTTGTCAGTGAGGAAAGACGGAGCGTGACGAAATCGACAAGTGAGGTCCATAGAAGTCACATGGCCGGAGGGCTGTGGAGAAAGATGGGGCAGGGTAAACACACACAGGTGTGAACACACGCATGCGTGCGCGCACACACATACACACACAGAGCTGCAGTGAGACCAGAGAGCTAAGGAAAACTTGAGTTCGCAGGTTATGCTGACGTCAGAGTGAATATATTCCAAGCAGATGGATAACAAAACCACACGCTCCGATGATACAGACCGATAGCAGGACGGTCAGTGAGCACGGTCAGTAGCCTGACGTTCTCTGCCGGGGTGGACCTTTTCTTAGACTCGAGGACATTTTTTTTTATTAACCTTTCTTTAAAATCGTAAACTTCTGAAGTCTCTCTTGCTTTCGGACAGCAGCCATCTTCGATACCGATGATCCTTTCACGTTTGTAGAGCTCGTTATGGATTTCGAATTACTTCCACACACGCGCGATCTGTTCAGAGGCGAGCCGATTCTTGCACTTGGCCCTGCCGCACGAGCGCACACACCTGCACATACCTGCAGCGCATAGGCAGGCGGGCGGGCGCGCTCCGTCTCTTGAGTGAAATGGCCACGACTTTGTACAACCGACGCTTCCCTACCCCCGGCTCACACCTGGGTTGCCATAGCTGTTGTCAGAGCCTGTAGGTGTTCACTTCTGTCTGTTGGCTGCAGCCACTTGGCCCGGACGACCCCTTTCTGTCGTTTCCCGGAACCCCATGGCCGAGTGCACGTGAGGACGTGCCCACGGGTGCCACAGGTTGGGGAGACCGAGCAGTAACCCGGCCACGGGTGAGGTTGTCCACGTGCGGGCACGGGCGAGTGAGGACCCACGTCCTTGGCTTTTCACCTCGCCACAGACTGCCCCGTCATCGTCCCGCGGGCGGCTTGGGGAGCCAGAGAGACACACTGCTCGAAAATGGACCTCCCGGCCAAGTACGTCGTCATCATCCACACCGCCGGCGCCTCCTGCAACACGTCCGCGGATTGCCGGCTTCGCGTCCGGGACACGCAGGCCTACCACATGGACAGGCTGGACTTCTGCGACATCGGCTATCAGTAAGTGGGGTCGGCGAGCCTCCTTTTCCGCGGGGCTGCGTCAGGAAAGGCTGTGGGAGGGACCCGATATTGGCTAAGCCCTCCTTGGTGCCAGGTGCTTAAGGTGACATTGTATTTTATTTGTGTGAGACGCTGGGCCGCGTATCAGTCGGATGTGGCTAAGGGTTAGTTACCTTTCCGGGGTCCTGTCCCCGAGGGATGGAGAAGACTCTGAAAAACGGGCACTGGAAGCAAGGGCAAGACCGTAGGGAAGGCCGTCGGGGGGGCCACGCCTTTTTACACGATCCTTTCTAACCCCGGAGACGCGGCCCCTGCTCTGCCCCCACGGCCCCGAACTTGCCCCACCCCGGTGTTGGACCCCTGCCATACCGCTGGCGCTGTCCCATCTCTGCAGTAGGGACGACGACACCTTGTCCATCTGAAGATACAGAGCGAAATCAGAATGCTCTCCCTTGGGTCCGTTAACACCGGGTCCACACGAGACAGACACGTTCAGCCGTGCGAACCGCGGAAGCTACTTGCGTTTCGTGGAAACGACGTGGTTAGAGCGTGACGGACGGCGGTCATCCACCTGGGACGTTTCGCCCAGCCCCGAGCGGGTGGGAGCTCGCAGGTGCCTTGTTCGGGCCTGGCTGTCTGTCCCCCTAACTCCCTGAGCAGACAGGAGGAGCCGCTGCTGCCCTTCATGGGACTCCCCACGGCCTCGTGATGATTGTTTAGTGCCGACGCTAGGGAACGGACGAGAAGTCTGGAAATCCCACATGGAAAATGCCGGAAGTTTCTCTTCCCGCTCAGTCTTCAGGGACTCGATCTCTGCTCCTCAGCTTCCCAGACCTGCCGTGGTGTCCCCCTCACCGTCCGGCACACGCGACTACCCGTGCGGACCGTGGCCAACACCAGCCTCCCCCTCACTGGCCGCTTTCTAAGTTTTTAACCAACGTTCATGGGGCGTCTGCTGTGTGCCCGATGCCCGGCAAGGTAGACACGGTCCCTCTCCCCATGTCCCCTTCCCCTTGGAGGAGAGAGAGAGAGGATAGCGTCCCCACTGCAGAGATGGGACAAGTCACAGTCTGGCGCTGTGGCAGGTGAGGAACAGAATGGACGCAGGATGGGCTGCTAGGCAGGCTCTGGGGGAGTGAGGATGCCGGGGGAGGGCCCCCCGAGGGAGGGGCGTCCTGGCTGGGGTGTGGGCACCGAGCGGGGGGTGGTCAGGCGACGAAGGATGAGGGGCATGTTCCAAGTGAGAGCCTGGGGTCCAGACGGAGCACTTTTCTGCGAGGAATTGATGACGTTCAGCTCCAGTGTCAAACTGGACTTCAGAGAGGGGAGGGGCGAGTCGGCTGAGCCACATCGCCAAGGGCCCCGGGGCTGGTCCCGACACACGGACTCCGTTCGAACGGTCGGACCCTACGATGAGATTCGCATTCTGGCAAAACCACTCTGGGTGTTATTTTAAGAGTGGACGGGAAGTGGGCAGAGCTCCGGGCGGGGAGTTTTGCAGTGAGCCAGGCGGGGACCCGGAGCAGCGTCACGGCAGTGGGCACTGAGGGGACAGGAGGAATTTAGAGTGGGAGACGCGAATGACCCGCCGGGACTCACACCGGCCAGGGCTGGGGGGCGGGAGTGGGAGGCCTGCAGGGCGACACCCGACTCCCCGGCCGAGGGCACCGCAGAAGGAGCGGGGTCCGCCTGGCACGTGGGATTTTACAGGTGGTAACGGAAGCCATGGGACTGGGTGATTGTCCAGGAAGAATGATCCGTGCTGAGCGAGCAGAGAGAAGGGGCTGGACGCGGTCCCCAGGAGCGGTGGGCGGACGGCGGGGGGACGGCAGGGGGACGGCAGGGGGAGAAGCGGAGGGAGGAGAACCAGGGGGCTGTGGCTCGTGGAGGCCCAGGGAAGGCGACATTTCAAGAAGAGAGTGGTCAGCAGGGCAGTCGGCCCAGAAGAAGAACACGCCCCCACTATCCAGCGTGGAGGCGGTCACCGGTCGCCCTGGGGGGTCCGATCGGCGGCGGTGGCGTGTGGGGGGCGGGGCCGTGCTGCGGTGGGTTGGGGCGCAGCTGTCCTGCATGTCACTGTCCGGCCTCACTTCTCGGTGTCGGGGACTGTGGTGGTTTTTCTTTGTCACCCCTGTGTACACTGGCACGGAAGAGACGTCAGTCAGATCTGACACGTGGGTGAACGGGGGAGCGAGGGGTGGACAGAGCCGGTTCCTCCCGGGGTGACCCCCTCCGCTTCCCTTCGCCCCACCCAGCTTCCTGGTGGGCCAGGACGGCGGCGTGTACGAAGGCGTCGGCTGGCGCTTCCAGGGCTCCCACACGTTTGGGTACAACGACATCGGCCTGGGGGTGGCCTTCATGGGCGACTTCGGGGGTAAGGAGCGGGCATGGGGAGGGAGGGGTTCTGGGTGTGGGACCCCACGTGGCTTGTCTCGGGAGCATGGGGGAAGGTGACCTTGCCGAGCCTGGCAGTGCCAGTGGAACATTTCAGCCTTAAAGGACACCAGGAATGTCCCCAGGGGGAACACTTTCCTGGGTCCACCCGTCCCCGAATCCAGCGCCATCTCCTCAGACCCGTACCCAAGGCACGCACCTGGCAGGAGAGAACACGGTGTTCTGCACTTTGTTGCTTTTACGGCTCAGTCAGCAAATGCAGCCTCTTCCTCAGTAACCATGGCAACACTCTTGGGGGATACCCCCACCTGTCATGGCAAAGCCGTGACTGGTCCGGCGGTGCCTGCCGCGTGCTGTGCTGCAGATCTCTCCGAACTTTCTGGAAGAAACACACGGAAACTTGTTTTCTCTCTGTGCCTGGCTGCCACCGTTCTGTGATTTTATTGGCTGCGGTGGTGGGCGGGGTGGGGGGCGGGGGCAGAGGGAGACAGACATCTGGGCGCTTGTCCCAGCCCTGAGCAAGCGACCCCGAGACCCCGATGATGGATGGGGTGAACGTGTTTTGCAGAAAAGCCACCCAACACCGCGGCACTGGGGGCTGCCCAGGCCCTGATCCAGTGTGGGCTGGACGAGGGCTACCTGGCCCCCAGCTACCTGCTGGTGGGACACAGTGACGTCAGCAACGTTCTGTCTCCTGGGAAGGCTTTGTACAATATCATCAGCACCTGGCCTCACTTCAAGCAGCGAGGGACCTCGCAACCCTGAGACTGCGGCCCCCCCGCCCCCCACGCCCCACGGCTGCCGGGCACCCCGTCCTCGCTGCCACTCCGGCTGGACACCACGTCCCCTACCGGCCAGCCCTGTCCAGTCCAGCGGCCCCCAGTCCCCATAGCTGGGCGGCTCAGCCTCCCCCTCTCAACAGCCTCTCCCCTGGCGCCCGCCTCCTCAGCCCGGTGACAAAATAAAAGTGGTCCCTGCTCGACTCCTCGCTCTCGCTGGACGAGCGCCTCCGCCTGCTGCGCCTCCCCCGCGGTCTGCCCTGTGGTCCTGCGCCCCACCCAGGGCCCAGGTCAGCGCCCCGGCCCCCTCCCTGCTCCACCCGGACGCAGCCTTACTCAGGCCTGGCCTGTGTCCGGACGTGCCCACCCTCCCCACGGGATTTTGAGGCTGTCGGTTTTATCTGTCTCCGTGACCTCAGTCTCTCAGCCGTGTGTGGAGTCCAGTAGGCTCTCCAGACGTTCGTGGAAGAAACGGATGAACAAATGAATGAGTGAGTCCGAGTCCCTGCTCCCCTGCCACTTTGCTCATCACCCCTCTTTGGGGAAGCCTTGCTGGACAGTCCCCCCTGCTGGCAGCACCCTCTCTGTCCCCTGACCCTCCCCCTCCCCGGTCTGAGGCTCAGAGCCGGCTCTTGTCACTTGTCTGTAATGGTCGCTGTGTCTCCAGGGTCCTCTGTCCCCATCTTCCCAGAGCTCAGAAGGCAGAGACCGTGTAGCCCTGCAGGCCATGGCTGAGTCCACGCACGCCGCCCGGAGCCTGCTGCCTGCCCGTGCCCGGCCGGGCCCCTGGGCGCCAGGCGGGCTGGGCGAGGCCCCGGCGTCATGGGCACTGCGGCCGTCCTGCCTGGGCCTTCCTTGGATCGTCCGCAGCACAGTCCCTTCCCTGGTTCAAACCGCGTCCTCGGCTTAGCTCTCGGTGGCCTCCCCAGCGCCTGCCGCAGGCTCCCTGTCTCCGTCGTCTCTCATCGAGGCTCCCCCAGCCCCAAATCAACAATATCGCGTGGTCTGGGTTCTCGTCGTCTCGCAGTTCTGGTCTTAAACACACGGTCGGAGCAAACCCAGAGCGCTCGGCCGGCAGGCGCCTTCGCCGGCGAATCCTGAGCCATTCCGTTTCGGGCAGCGGCCTCTTCTGTGTCCTCGGTGTAAAGAAGTTCTGCCCGGCTCCCCTGGGTCAAACTCGCAGCCCCTCAGAGGGCCATCGTGAGGGTCACGTGAATTAAATGTGTTAGGGCCTGAGACCCCATGGCCGGCATAGGATAAATGAAGCCAGTGAGGCCTCGTCTCTCTTGCCACTTTGCCGTGATGGTGGCCCCGACTCCTGTGTGCCCGTGGCAGGGAGGGTGTGCCTTCGCCGGCACCAGCCTCGGCTGCCCCGGGGGAGTTTGGCACAGGCCGGTGAGCAGGCTGAGTCCCAACCCTGTGACAGGTAGGGAGAGGCCGCGTCTGGAGGCCCGAAGGAGCCTTTGGTGAGGGAGGAAAGGCTGTCCTCCCCGGCCCCCCGACACTGTCAGGATGGGGGGCCTCTAGAGCTCATCTGGTCAGCGCTGCAAACCACAAACGATGCTGAGTGAACTCTCCTCTGGCTTCAGAAGAGAACACCCATCTGGTGAAGCCCTGTTTCACAGAAAGCTGAAGGACACCGGTGACCTGTTCAAGGTCAGGGTCACCTGTGAGTCACATGAAGGAGGCGGGGCTCAGACTCCCGCCTGGCGCCTTCCTGTCACCCGTCTGCTCAATGTCATCTCATGGGCCTCCGGTCCCTGGAGTGAGGCGGAGCGTCCCCCCCCCACACCTCCCTGCTGTGCAGAATGAGCCAGATGGGTGTCTGCACCCCACTGCCCATCCCAGGGCACTGTCCGCACTGCTCCCCCGCCCCTCCTGACCGCTCCACCTCCACCAGGGTTCAATTACAAGGCTGGCTCTTCTGGAAGCTTCCCGCTCCTTCAGACTGGGAAGCGACACCCCCTCCCCCGGGGTGGGGGTGGACCCGGCCCCGGCCCCGCCTTCTGGACCTGGACCCGAGGCTGCCCCCGCACTGCCCCTGTCTCTGCGTCTCCAGGCCCCGGCGTGCGGGGGTGGGGTGGGGGTCACCGGTCCGTCTGTGGAGTGGAGGGCTGGGAGCCACACTGGCCGCTGGGGCCAGCGGAAGCCCGGCCAGTCCTGGGACGTCTGCCACCTACTGGACAAGCTGGTGTCTTCCTGTGAAACGTCGCGTTTCTCACAGGTTAATTCCGTCTTGAGTCCAGGCCCGCCAGTGGCCCCCTCCCCCGTCCCCCCACCAATGTGGGATTTGGGGGAAGACACTCTCCAGCACATGCCCCCTACCCTCAGGGGCTCCTGTGACCTCACGGGTAGCTGCAGCCTGGGGAGGAGCCGGTGGCCTGCTGGCCCGCGGCTGCTCGCTCCCAGTGGCCCCTCGGACGCTGGCCCCCCCCTCTGCCTCCCTCGCAGCCCCTCGGAGTTTCTCCCTCTCTCAGTCTGTGTCTGCCCCGTTCTTGTCTCAACAACACTCGAATGTGGCAGTGTGGAAGGAACAGGGGACAAGGGGCCTGGGCCTCAGCATTGCCGACTCCCACCAGCGGGCTCCACTCTGCCCCCAAACCAAGCCTTGCCTGCCCGGGGGCAGCTAGGAGCCCGGGGAGTGGGAGGAGGGGGCAAGAGGCCAAGGGTGGGGTGGCTCTGGGGAGGGCACCCGGCTTCTGGAAGCTCGGTGCGCACGGAAGTGAGACAGGTGTGTTCTTGGCCCAGCAGGTTCTGCTGGGCAGGGCCTCGATTGGAAGAGCTGGCTCTGAGAGGGAAGAGGGGCGGGTGGGGGCGGGAGCCCTGGGGGGTGTGGCTGGGACCTCTGGGGCACATTCCGCAGTGGGCGAGAGCCCTCCGGTGCTCCAGATTGATGCTGCCCGCGTGGGAGGGGCTGGGGGGTCTG